TGACTGTATAAAATGTGAAGGATAAATGAAGGAAAATGTTCTATAGGGCAGAGAATTTCAAACAATTATTATTCTGAATACTCTCAAGTAATGCTTTTGTACATAATGATCATGGACATTGCCAGAAACAGAACAACCTTGAGAAAGTTATTTTAAATTAATGTTTTAGGTCTTTTGTTTCAAAGGTGGATATTTAAATAACAGCTGTATAAGGGTTTTATTTAAAATGAAAAATAAAAAGACAAATCTCATTCTCATCTAAAACATACCATATTCTGTTCACAAGGTGCATTCTATCCATGTTCTCTCATGATCAGCAGATGTGGATGTTTGACTTATGAGTTCTAATGAGATTTCAATACTGAACAAACAATAAAAAATTATGCATTGCATACTTTTATAGGCCTTTGTCTTCCTGGTTAGTGTTATACCCTTTCAACAGCTTTGGTAATGCTATATCCAGCAGGCTTAAAGACAAAGTGAATTTTAGTGGTGGATTGAAATAGTGAAAATTAATTTGATTACTTTTCGCAAATAATGAATTTTAGTAACATAATTATGCAACATAAACATCATCCTTCGGTGTCAGAGATGGGTGCTATTTTTTTCCTGTTGCTATGAATACATTAGTGAATCAGAAAGTTGTGTGTCGAAACAAGATCAGAGTGAAATGGATTAGATTTCCTACATTGCCTATATTCTTCTTGGATCATCTTAAACAAATTATCTCCATCTTAGGGAGAGAGATAAAAGTAAAGAGATACAGCATACCTAGGGAAGATACTTTTCTGTTTCCCTGGGAAAAATAGTTTAAAAAGTAGACTATGTAAGGTATGCTTGATTTTTTACAGAAATCCATTTAGGAATAATTCTTTATTCCCACTGTTACAGCAGTAGGCTTGGAAAATCCAGGTTCTAGTCCTCATTTGGGAAAGTGCTGATTCCCAGCCTAACCTGCCTAACAGGACTGTTGCAAGTAAAAACAGTATCTTTATATGCTCGAGACAGTATAAATTGTTCTACTCACCTTTTATTTTTAAAAGAGGAAGAGCTATTCCACAGGGCTCTAGTTAGGGGGCCACTGATGGGGCATGGGCTCTTGACAGGTAGGCAACCATGACTCCAGTTTTGAAGGTATCATGAAGTTATTTGTCTTTCACAACTGAAAATAAGTCTACTATTCAAACTGAGTGACCAACAACCAGTTTCTTTTCATGTGCAAGAAAAGCTAGTCAATTGATATGAAATCTCAAATTATAGTGTTGAGAGTAAACCACCCATAATTTACTTGAGCAGACAGTTGAAAATTCGTGTTTTGTTTTGTTTCATTTTTGTTACTCCCATGTCCCAGAATATTGACAAATATCAGGGACAGCCAACTAAATGGCAATGATGGCTAAATGTAATGTTGTACTGAGTCCACGTGCGTAACCAATCATGTTTTACTATATATTGTACTAAAATAAGGCATGAAAGGGAAAAGTTTGCTATTAAAGCAAAGTGTGCTTTTTCCATCCACAGTCAGCTTTTCTTCTCCACCTCTTCACCACTGGTACCCCTATGAATAGTGCATAACTTAAATGAGGTCCTAAAAAAGTTTTCTAGTTTACAAGATTAGACAGACATGTAATTCAACCTGCCATGATTGAAGGCAACAGCAAAAGAGTCCGGAAGAGGTGAAATCGTTAATTTTATTTGCATAATTCACTAAAAGTGATACATAATGGATGCCTTCTACATATAATATCTTGCAAAGGTATTTACCATCCTTTGACTTTTTGCACATTTTGTTCCTTAAACCTGGAACTGAAATGGATTGACAGTGTCACCACTTTGTGTACATAAGATATTCAGGACTGTGCATGTCAAGCCTGTAATCCAACTAGTCATGAGGTAGGTAACTAGTGGATCACTTTTGCTCAGGAGTCCTGGGCAGCAGTGGGCTATTCCATTCAGTGTTTGCCCTAATTAGTATTTGCAAGAAGAAGCTTTGGCAGCAGTTGCAGCTCCAAATCTTCTTGGATTAGTCTCTCTCAGCTTTGTACATCTGGATCCTACAGTGTTTGCTCATTCCTCCTGATGGTTCTGCAGTAGCTCTGTCAAGTTGGATGAAGGCCATCATGGAGCAACAACTTTCAAGTCTCACCACAGATTCTCAATCATATTGAAGTCTGGACTTGCACTGGGCCATTCTAAGACACTTGGGTTCTTTTTTTAACCATTCTAGTGTTACTTTGACTCTGTGTTTAGAATGATTGCCCTGTTGAAAGACAAACTTCTGCCACAGTCCCTTGTAGACTGAAACAAGTTTTGATTCTAGAGTTGCACCGTGAATAGCTCCATCCATCTTACCATCAGTCCTGACCAGTCTTCCAGTGAGGAAAATCCTGCTGAGGATAAGCATCCCCAAACTTGATGCTGCTTTCACTGTAGGAATGGTGTTCTCAAGGAAATGAGCATTGGTGGCTTTGCACTGTGCAGCATTTTGCACCAAGAATGAAAAGTCTGATTTTGGTTTCATCAGATCAAAGAACCTTTTTTCACAACTTTGATGTGTCTCCTATATTCCAACAGGCTTTGATGTGTGCTTGTTTCCGCAATGGCTTTCTTATTGACCCTCTTCCATGAAGCCCAGTTTTGTTGAGCATCCAGATGATCATTGTCCCATGGACAGTCCTCTCAACTCAACTGAGTATCTCTTCACCTTCTTCAGAGTTACCATTGGCCTTTTGGTTGATTCTCAGTGTTGAGTATCTTGTGTACTCAAGTGGCAGTAATGCCAATTAAATCCATTTCAGTTCTGCGTTTTAACAGAGTAAAATCTTGAAGAGTGTGATGAATATTTCTGAAAGGTGCTATAACCCTAATCCTTGGTTTAGTCTTCTCTGGGCAGGCCTCTGTGGTCTTAAGCAACATGTTAGCCTTGACCACAAATTTTCTACCTCTTCTTCCCCAGAAGTTCAGAGGATAATTTCTGCTGAGCTAATTGAAATTGAATGAGGTTTCTTTCAAACCAGGACCCCTAGTTTGTAACACAAAATTACGTTTCTTTAAAACTCAGCAGAAGCACTTTCCCTGTTGCATGTGTAGAAGAAAAGGGTGGGGAAAGTTTGTTAGCTTGACACTTTGTTCAGAGTTGTGAAGGTGTGTCCACATGGCACTAACCAGGGATAGATAACCGTTTCTTATTTCAGGGGCCAAATGCAAACCCCAGGGCCCCTGAGGAAAGTCTTTGGCTTGCATTCTATTTGTGAGCAGGGCCAAATATAGTTCTTACCTATTTTGTACCTACTCAGAAGTAAACAGGGCAAGCCCTGCTTGTCCATTCAAAAGTAAGCAGGACAAGCCTCAGAAGTAACGAGTCATCACCCAGCTTCCACCCGAGTTCCTACAGGCTCTCCAGCACAGAAAAACACTTGCCTCCAATCAGCTTCAATCTGCTTTTCTTAGTAGGACCATGAGAAGAAGCTGATGGGCAAAATGGCCATGGCCAAAGGTTCCCCATGCCTTCACTAAGCCAATCCTTAGTGTTATGCATGAACACTGGCATAAATGTGTAATAACAAAAAGACCTGATAGATTTATGATCTAGAAAGCATTCACATATTTGAAGAGTTGGAGGTATAAGAGAAAGACCTGCTTGAATATTTAAGGGATGATTACCCTTTGGTAAGTGAAACATGCATATATTTCCCGGGGACTGTATGTGTTCTCTTAGATGGCTTTGGGGTTCTTCAGTCTTCTCTGAAAACACAAGTGTTTTCTTAGCTACATGTGTAGCAAAGCAACATCATATTGAGACTCTGAGGCCGCATCTCAACAATAATATGTCCAGGAAAAGTATGTATGAGCTCTATTCACCATGGAACAAGTTGTGGCTTCAATACTCAGTAAATCCAAATGTTCAGTGGCTAATAAAATGTTAGTGATTACCTGCTAGTTCCTTTATGTCTTGGGACATATTCCAGTGAGTAAAGACATGTCCTTAGTTTTTCCAGCTGAATTCTAAAACTCTTACAGATGGTTCACGTGATCCTGCCTCTCTACATGTGAAAGAACAAGTGGGGGGCATTGCAGGTCCATAGTCTCTAGACCCGTTCCCTACCATTGATGCACCCAGTGGCACTGTTGACACAACCAGCTGCAATGACCCCCTTGAACTCCACATGTTCACAGCACTTTGGAAGGGAGCTATGCACATAGGATCCCTCCTGACAGGTGTGTGTGTGTGCATGCATTGGTCAGGAAGGGGGCTGCTGGGCACATGAGTGGCAGGGGCACGGCTAGCCCCATACAGTCTCATGCTGTAAAATTTGGTTCATTCCTGGTTCTGCTTTTGACAGGAAGTAAAAACTGTCCTATACTTTCATGCTGTTCAAGTGTACATTCCAACTGTATTTAATTTTAATGCCCCTTGCCATTATAAATGTATGAGTTTTATGTGAAGTGTTAATGTTTTACTGCTCTGAGTGCCTGCAAAGCAGATGGTGTGATTTTATAAATTTAATAAATAAATCTGTGGAAGAAATCAAGTGAAACCCCTTTCCTTGTATCTCTTTTTAATATCTGAACACTTAGAGGTTTTATTATAAGTATATAGATATAGATTAACAGACATGTGTTAGCTAGTGTAATATTTAATCGTGTAATACATAATATTGTAGGCAGCAGGAGTGGTTCTATCAAGAATGCTATTCTGTATACAAAGAAGCTAGCAACTAGCACACAAATTGTGCCCATTGTACAGCAGCAAAGCAGGTACCTGATTCTGGTATAATTGTCAAACTTTCATTATCTCTAAAGCAATAGATGTCTTGTGGATTTTAAACCTATCATGTAATCAGCTTTTCTGTTTAACCAAATACCTTGTTATCAGACCTTTGATTAAAGTTTCTAGCTTTAGGAACGTACCAAGATGTTTTGTTTTAATGTATTTTTAACCATGGATGCAGGAAATGTGGTCTGGGTACAGAAATCTATTTTGCTATTCTGTTTATCAGCCATCCACTGACTGACCCATGTAGCTGCACCTGTGACCAGTCTTTGTAGCAATCTGTGAAGAAGAAGAAAAAGAAAATGCAAAAGTAATCAGCCCATTTTTGCCTTTCATTTATCTCTGTCATCTGGGAACCTGATCCTGATAGTATCAGAAGCAATGAAAGTTACATCCTGACATTATTTTCAGTTTTTTTGTCTAGACAGTAAAGAACAACCACTTGTATCTCGGAACACAAATATGAGGGAGAAGGAGGGGGAAGATTCTAGGCTGGAGGCCAGAGGGGAGCGGGGGTAGTAAGCTGTCTATATTTTCTAAGAAAGAAGAAGTTAAAAACCACCACCTACTCATCAGGTGGTTGGAGACTGAGGTTGTAAAAATGTGCTGCAGGCAGAAGTTCTGAAAATCCCAGAAAGTGTTGAAAACATCTCTAAACAAGGTATTTTTCTCCTGCACCTTTCTTGCTAAAGGTCCCAATTGCTGCCAAGAAAACTAGTGAGAATGTTAGCTGCCAAATAAAAAATTTATGACAGTGTTTGGCAAAGGACTGTATTGCTGCTTGTTTTATACATTTCCACAAGGCTATTGAAGGGCTTTCTTTCTTTCTTTCTGAACACATGCACTTCACTGATCATTCTGTTCTCTAATAATAAAAAGTAAGGCCAAAGTAGAATTAAATATTCTAACTTTTATTATTTTATAACCATCTATAGTTATTCACTATGGTAATTTCCATTTATCTCTGTAATTAATATTATATATACACACACCCCGACAGACATTGTTGTAGGGTGAGTCAGGTCTTGTAGTAAAAATACATGAAATCATCAATTAAAAATGTATTGCTTTAGCATTTCTGCTTGTTATTCATTCATGTCTGGGTCAATAAACTGCCTGTTGGAAAACATAAAGAGGCTTATTCACAACAACTTGTGCATGGCATTTATAGTTGAAAAACAGGAGAAATAATAGGCTAGAATTGTGTGGTTCACCAATATCTGTTAAATGTTTTAGCTGTGTCATTAAATTAATGGTGTGGAAGGGGAAGAAATTTCAGTGTGTATTGAGTGGGGAGAGGGAATATATTTACTACAAAGTTAACACATTGACAGCAGTAATTAAGTTGGCTGATGGTTAAGTTAACACCCATTTAGAAGTTACTGTGCCTGTCTGAAGGTATGAAATTATCTCCTTCTGTCTCTACTGAACAGCCATCAGGTTAGGGTTTCAGCTGATAATTAGTTCTGTTTAGCATAGATATCATCATTTTTGTACTAAAGCAGATTTCACAAGAATTACTCAAGCCCTGGGCTTTAGAAGAGCACTGGAGCCAATCAGTGGTTTTCCATTTGGGGTGCCCTATAGGATGAAGAATAATTTTTCATAAATATGCAGCAAATGCTTATCCCCTTTTATAGAGGAAAGAAAAGATGTAGTCTGCTCCCAAGCAGAAGGACTCTGGTTGCAAGAAAACCTCAGCTCTTCATTGTGAAACATTAAGAAGCCCTCTTACAGCATAGCACATAGTACATATTTCCCTTCCAGACTAATCAGGATTTGACCCATCATAAATTTGGCCAAGCACTATATACTGAAGCTCCTCAGAGTATTCATAAGAGGAATCCACTCCCATGACAGGAACTGTTTTTGCAGGGGCAGGGGTTGGGATTCCTGGGAATGCTGCATTGGATCAACTCCTACTTTGGGAAGGTCAGGAGAGAGAAATACTGTCGCCATTATGATTATTCAGAAATCATTTGAGTAGTTCATTGCTACTTGCCAAGTGACCACATTTGTTTATCATGTTGAAGTTGTATGTGAAGGCCACCAATAAAATTTCTATCTGGCAAAATTCCACATGCAGACTATAATGTTTGTAAGTCTCCCTTACTGTATGCATCAGTATAACCATGTGGAGAAGCTCTATGATATAGCACTCCATTCTGTCATGCCTTTGTTTATAAAATACTGGGCACTATCCAATGTGTTTGTTAGGCAGTAGCGTCATAGACATCTATAGTGTTCTGAACAGGACAGTCAGATCTCAAAACACAAGTCTTGTTGCATAACAGAAATTTTAAAAAAAATATTAGGTTAAATACTACATGGTTTAAGAACAGATTGCCAATGAGAGGATCATTGCATACAACATTCAGATAATTCATAGATATTTCCCTTTAATTCATTCCCTTTAATTCATAGATATTTCCCTTTATCAGGCAACTACCACAAGCAAATGAGTATCCTTCTAAGAAATTAAGTAATAATTAGTTTGCCAGGATGGGTGATTTCTGTTATGCATTCTTGTAAAGGACCCATGCATTTTTATTCTTAAGATGCTACCTTAATGTACTGGAAAATGGACATGCAGGAATTTATTTCCTATTCAGTGGTGCTCATGGAAACATTTAGCAGTATGTACTCATCCTCGTCTACATATTTGATCATTCTCTTTGTCTTAGTTCTTTCACATTTGGTTGTAGGAATTATGTCTGTTGTATCTCAGGGTCTGTGGGAGGTTGCTTTTTTAAACAGGTAATACACAGCTGAACTAAAGAAAATAGACTGAATCCTTGTTTTCATAATAATGTATATTTTAAAGTTGAACATAAAAATATTATTTGTGGTGGGCAAACATTTGGATCTGACATTACAGATACTTAAAAGGTAGTTCTCCTAAACTATAATCCAGATGACCTGTTTATTTAGGACAATTGTGTGCACAACTTTAAAATGAACACCAATTGCCTAAAAGCTGCAGCAGTTGAAACTGCAATTAAAGCTCTTGGTTCTCAAAGGCATTTGCATGAGTCTTTTTGGACTGTGGCCTTGGGCTCAAATCTAGAATTTAGTTTAGCTTTTTATATCCTGTTTTTCTATAACAGGCCATGCCCAACTTACAACAAACATCATAGCAGACCATACTTAAGTTACCATAAAAATCAAATGAATATGAAGATATAGCATTACATTTGCAAACAGCTACAAAATGCATTAACAAATGCAACCAAAATGTCAACAATTCAAGAGAAAAAGCCAGTTACACCAGTGGCAGCTTATTGCACTGTATCACAAGGGTCTTGATAGACTCTCCTGGGGATACAGAGCTACTATTGAAAGAGTTTCTTGAAAGCCCAAGTGGTCCTACAGTCCTTTTCATCATCACCTTATGTTTTTTCTTATTTAGAGATCTTTAATTAACCACAATGGATAATAATAGTAGCAAAATTTATCCTTTGCTATTGGTCAACTCACCACAAGTTAACTTTTCTGCTCTATTTATATCAAATAGGCTGGATATCTTTGTTTCCAGAATATGTCTGCGTAGGTTCATACAGCTGGCCCAACTACGCTTGAGGGTTGTTTGGAAATCTCATAACCCACATTGATGTGTGATCCAAATGTGTTGAATCATTGACAGGCTAGAAAGCACCTAGGTGTACATTGTTATGCATTGAGGAAATAAGAAGTATGCCGGAGAGAGTAAGAACTTAGTTTGTGTAGTTCTCACAAACAGGAGATGAAGTAAGAAACCTGTATTTCAGACTGCAGGTTGAGGCTCACATAGTTGAATATTCCTGCATGCAAAACAGAAACAAAAAGCCCTTCACTAAGAAATCTTTCTGGGCATACTTTACCTGCTCAATCCATTCACTGTAAGAATGTGAGAATAAGCCTTAGTCATACAATGCAGTTTGCCTGCCAGTATGCATTGTTTGTAAACATCTTGAAAGAAGTGAATAGACTTATATCTCACCCTGAAAAGTGATCTAGAAAATTTTTTAAATACATAAAATTATTTCCATTCTGTCTCTCTAACTGGGATGTGAACAAAGTACAGCCAATAAAAGGAGTGTTGTAAAGTATAAAGACAGTACTACTGAAGTGAGGATGAAAAGCCAAAGCTGCAAGCCCAAGTAGGCGCTGCTGAAAACAATGCTGCTTCTGAATAATCATGCCTAAGATTGCAATGCAAGGGTGAACTCCTAAGGGTGCCTTCAAACTTCCAAACTAGGAGGGCTATGAATATCCGTTTGAGCATGGGAGCAGTTTGGAGGCAAGAATTGACTCTGCACTCCCTTCATCCTGAAAAAAAACATTTAAATAACCTATTTCGGCCATCCACATATTTTCTGACTCCTTGCAAGAAGGAGGGATTCAGGCATCACTTGGATTTGACAGAAGCTGGCGGATAGTGCCTCACCCCTCCCCTAAACCCAGAACCACCTGCCTCCCAGATCCTGTTCCAAAGACGAACATCTTCAGAGACTTAGCTGGCTTACGAAACACTGCACTGGCTGAGAGAGTGCAGGAGGAGGCTTCCAAAGGCAGAGTCCCCACTGAGACTTCCGAAGGCTTTTCCAAGGACACAGCAAGAGCTCCATCATTTTCTGTGGCCAACACCTACCAGCCATAGGATTGTGCCCTAAGTCTCTTAATGTTTCTGCCAAACTAAAGTAAACCTTTTTTTCTTTCAAATTTTCCTTGTGTTGATCTTGCTTGGCAAAGTCTGTTAAGCTAGTAGATATATGGAGCAACAGAACGGGGATTTTACAAGGTGATGCAGAACAGAAGAAAAGCTTGAAAACTGGTTAAAACCAGAGAAACTCTTCAGAAAGATGTATGGCAACAAACACAGTTCTAATGATCACTTGCTTTTTCCCCAAATGGTATATTTAGGCTGTGATTACAGGAGTTAATATCACCAGCAAAATAATACTGGCAGTACTTAGAATCTCTTAGGAACAGAACCAGTGGTATTTTCATTCTTGTGCATGCTGACCTTGGGTCACTGAATCACAGGGCATTGTAAATAACAGCTGGAGGTGGGAGCAGATCATGAAAATACTCTTGAATGTATCCAGTATTTTCAAGTACATATGGCATTTCTGATACCCTTTGTTACTTATACAAAGATTTTACAATTCATTTTAGTTTTACAGGAAGCGTCACACATACATCCCATTGCATGCATGAAGTTACTCACAAAAGTGGATAAGTTATTTGGGGTACAAAGGAATGGCATGTTTCCACTTTAGCAATCTAGTAATTCACTTTGCATTGAAACATTATTTGTTAATAAGTCAATGAGTTGCTCTTGAAACCTGAGAATTTTTTACAAGAACAGTTTATTCAAATTTCTGAACTGCGTCTTCCTATCTAAAAATTACTGAGCAGATTATCTGCTCGGCTTGGGTCCGGGTTACCTAAAGGAGCACTTACGTCCATATGTACCTGCTCACCCCTTGAGATCAGCAGGAGAGGCCCTTCTCCGGGAGCCCTCTGTGAAGGATATTAGGAGGGTAAGTACTCGGAGGAGGGCCTTCTCTGTGGTGGCGCCCAATCTATGGAATGCGCTCCCCAGAGAGGTCCGCCTGGCACCGTCGTTATTTGTTTTTCAGTGCCAGGCGAAGACCTTTTTATTTAAACGTCATTTTAATTGCTAATATTATTTATTTATTTTACATCTTTGGCCAGGACATCTCCAATTATATTGTTTTTATATTGTTATTATTTATTTATTGTTGTGAGCCACCCTGAGGCTTCGGTGAATGGGGTGGCATAGAAGCTTTCTAAATAAATAAATAAATTTTATTCATCTCCTGACAAACCAAGTTACTGTACTGAATAGAGACCACAAGTACTTCTTGCAAACACATCGAAAAAATAAGCCATAACATTTTCCCCAAATTCACGGCTCTTATCTCAGTGCTCCTCAGAAAGAGGATGTGTGTAGTTCAGAAGCAGCCTTGTACTCCTGTATTCCAACTTCCCATTCTGTGGCTTCTCCCAATATACAGAATGCTATCCTTTTTATTAAGGCATGATATTGAATGTATAGCAAAACTTCAAATATGTCTGCTTTCCTAATAGTGGAGGTTTTTTTTTTACTCCGTGGAAAAAAATGCTTTAATAGTAGCAAGTATCCCCTGTCAGCTAATTCTCTATCAGGTAAACCATTTGTGAATACATCGATCTTTTTTATTTATTTATTTTTTCCAATTCCATCTCTGCTATTCCCAGGATTTCTCTGAATCAGTTGGGCAAAAAATGATTTTTGTTTGTTCTATTGGCCTGCTGCAAAATTAGCTTATGAACTGTTTTTAGAGAAAGCCTCAAAGCACACAGCGCAGGTTGTAAAAAAAAGAAAGAAAGAAGAAGCAGCAGCCTATAGCAGTCAAAATTGTTGTCTGAAATGTCTTCAGACTAGAAGGCTGAATTTATTGCACAAAACAAGTCTTAGCGATGTGGAGGTGTGCAGTCCTGCTCATTATCCCTGGAAAAACGAGGAACCAAAAAGCACAGTAAAAAAAATTAAATTTTAATAATGCTAGTGATATTTTCTAAATCCTTCTTGACAGAAAGATTCTCATTATTTTTATCTGTCTCAGAGTAGGCTCCTTTAATGCCATCTTCACAAATGGCCTTAGCCATGATTGTTTTCTTTTCTTCATAGCATACAGGGGAGGTGGTGGAGGATGAATATATACAATACATACTAAAATGCTTTCCTATCACTCAAACTCTCATAAAGTACTAACATTTTGGATAGCAAATTTTCAGAAACAGTTGCTGCATGTTCCTTGGGGCGGGGGGGGGGTATTTATTTATTTTGTTCAAAAGTGGTCGACACAGTTGAGACTATTGTATAGAACTTCCTACAGAAAAAATATATCCATCCAAACATAGAAAGAAACCCTGTTGAAAATTAGTATCCAGGCTCTAATCTAACTGATATGAAACCACAGATTTACTGAAATCACAGTTAAAGTGAAAGTTGCTTGGCTTTGTATCAGATCAGTTGCAGTTATGCTTTTAGATGAAGACTGTCATTTTGGCTTAGTTCAGGCTTCTCAGAAAGTGTTCCTGTTGTTTCTGTAAAATTTGTGGAATGTAAATGAAACTAGTTAGCACATTAGCTAATGCACCATCATGTTTCTTCTTGCTCACTATTTCTGCACACATTACTACTAGTGAAATTTAGATGAATGTTTTTTTCCTCATTTGTTCAGAAAAACATGTGCCTACACATCCCAGAACCAATACTTTTTGGCAGCTGACTAAAAATAGACAAATAAAGAAAAATTGAGCCATCATCCTCATCCATATTATCATTAGCAAATTGTTGACTGTGTGATCTTTTGAGCTCCTGTGTATATTCTGCTTGACAATTCACTATGGGGGTTTACTTGAGGGTTAGTATATACGTTTTAAATAAGATGCATGTGATTCTGATTATTTATACTCACCTACAATAGCTTTGTATTCTAAACTCCTCAATAGTCATCCTTGTATCTCAGGGATATAGGAACAAGTTTTGTTGGTTTCAAAAGGTCTGTGAAATGTAGTTAGTTTACAAAGTTTGTTCTGATACTGGAAAACAGTGAACATTAGTGAACATAGCTAAATTAAAAGAGTAGGTGTTTATTGCAATATTGCAAAATGGCTTGTCCTTTTTAGCCAGGAACAATAGTGCACAAATTATCATCTATGGATCCAGGAGATTTATTGGATACTGGTCCTGTAAGCAACAGGTTGCATTTAGGACCTGCATTTGACTTTTACATTTCCAAACAGTATTACAATGATTGTTTGGTCTTGGTTAGCCATTTTGTGGGAAAACCTGTGCATGTGAACAACGGAGTTGCAAATAGGACAATAGGCCAGTACAGTGATACCTTGGCTCATGAAATTCATCTGTTCCACGACTCTGGTTGTGATCCGAATTGGTTGTGATCCAAGTCAAATTTCCCCACAAGATTCAATGTAAATAAGGTTAATCCATTCTGGCCCCTCCAAATGTGGTTGCGAGCCAATTTTTGGTCGTGATCCAAGTCAAATTTCTCCATAAGGTTCAATGTAAATAAGGTTAATCCGTTCTGTAACTATTTTTTTTAATCAGAAAAATTTGAAACAAAGTGACATAGAACAACAAAGTAACAAAGTACAGTACAGTGGAGAACACTGACCTAGGTGGGCCAGCAGGTTATTGTTTTGAGGGAGAGTCCCCCTCAATAAGTACATTGGGGAAATCTCTTTCAGGGATTTCCTCTCTTCTTGGTCTCTTAGCTGCAGGGTCAATTTGGTGAAAAATCTGTCTATAGTCACTTGTTTTTTCCTGCGCTGCATAACCCTCCGGAAATGAGAGACCACATTATTATTAAACAGATTCAACACTCTGTTTGTTACAGTTATGTTGGGGTGGTGCTTCTCAAATAAAGCCTGGCACTCATTCCATTTTTTCATAATGGATTGTATCACATCACTGATAACCTCCTCCCTGTCTTCCTCTTCCTCAGTGGAATCCTCCTCAGCAAGTGCCTTCTGCTGCTCACTCTGGAGTTCAGCAAGTTCTTCTGTCATCAGCTCCTCTATGTCTTCCTTGCATGAATGCAACTGCAATTGTGGCAATCTCCCCACTCAGGCTGGGCGAGGAGATGGCTGCAATCGTGCTGGTTGGGGGCGGGGGGGGGGGGGAGATGGCTGAGATTGCGCTCATCTTTCCTGCAGGAGCACACCTGTGATCACACACGTCTTCCCTGCATAAACGCAACTGTGATCGTGGCCAACTCCCCACTCATGGGGGTGGGGAGATGGCCACAATCTTGGTTGCCACCCAATGCAGAGTTCGTGACCCAAGTCAATTTTTTCATGAAATTTTTGTTTGTGACCCAATTTGATTGTGAACCAAGGCATTTGTGAGCTGAGGCACCACTGTATTTGCGGAAGAGCAACCAAGTAATTTGTCTCATCTCAGACCTGAATGCTGCAAGGGATCCTGGAGATTACATGGTTGGAATTGTTCAGGACTGCCATTGTAGATGGGCATAGTAGAGCACCTGGCAAAATTCTGCATCCCATGCATGGGGCTCAGCAACAAGAATTGCTCTTCCTTTGCACTATTGTAGGTTTTTGTTCACATGCCATTTGGTCCAGTCCACACAGTGGCAACAGTGAGAAGGAGGGCCAATAGGTGCATCATGTATTTGCTCATGGGCTTTCTGCCTTTCAAGCAGATGAGTGTTTGCAGTAAGGCAAAAGCGGTGCAACAATAGCAGATGGCGAGAAGATAGACTCAGTGAAGGAAGGGACTCATTAAGGGTGTCTTTCTCAAGGGCCATCAAAAACCTGAAGTAAAAGTTCCATGTGATCATCTGATTCTCTGACTCAATAAGTTTATGTTGGTTGGCTTGACATGCCTACAATTCTGTAAAGGTTGAGTGTTGTAGTAATTTTGTTCTAGTTTACACCTGGTGAAGTGTTCAGGGTCCTGCTCGCACACTATCTTCCTTTTTCTGCTTGCCCTGTTTCTGGTGACTGTGCTTTGCACCATCAGATTCGCATAGTAGGTAAATGTTATTGGCTCCAAGATTGACAGGGAACGTGTTCCAGGAAGAGGAGTGCAGACATGCATAATGTGTCCATCCCAGAAATCCAACTACTGGAGTATCTTTGGATATTAAAGTATTGCATATCATGTGCCTTTTGTATTTGACAATATTTTCTTGTTGATTTGCACATACCCACTGCGTTATTTTAACTACATGTATAAATTCTTAACTTTGACCCAGTTCACATGCCAAGATTACCCATGGATTGGTGAAGCTGCTATGGCATAAATAGCTGTACTGTCTCCTGCTACTCACCATTTTCAGATTGCATTCAGTTTAGAAGGAAATGCTGCAATTTTTAGTGTGGCATATGGGTTGTTGTGGGGAAAACCTATGGCTTGCTGTGGTATTAAAATTCTGGACTCCCGCCCCCAACAACTCACAGTCTTGGGTCATCATGCATTACCAAACTCCTCAGGAAAGGGACATTATTTTCTAAACTAGATGTTATGTGTGAACTGAGTCACAAAGAGTTCCCAAACTTAAGTAGCTTAATTTTTTGGGTTGCTTATTCGGTGAAATTCCTTTGTCTTAGTTTATTGGAATGCTGAATGCATGAATTTTCAGAAAACACTTTTGGAAAGTATATACTTCTCCTAAGTCCATTTATGTTCTTGAGAAGACTATTTTCCTCAAGCATTTTCTTTGAAATAAATGAATGCTTGTTTGGTTGGTTATTTATTTAAAGTATTTATATACCGTTTGATTAGCATAAAGTTCTCAAAACAGTTTGCACAATATAAATTAAATATACAAAATCCAGCAATTATGGCAATTTAAAATGTTAACTGATTTATGGCAGCTATTTATTTTTCTCATATTTGTACTGGTGTCAGAGCACAATGTCTCTTGAAACTTCCTTTATTATTAAAAAAAATGAAAAACACTTTGTATAAAAAGTTTGCATAGGATTTA